GGCTTCCAGGAATTTTTAAATTAGCATCTTTTTTGGCACTCTTAGGTTATACGAAAATGTAAGTTTTGTTTCAACATGTTTTTTGTCAATATTTTTCCAATCAAACCTAACAATTATTATACATCATTTTAAAAAGAAAGCTTTGAGCTTTAATTTACAATAAGTCTCATTCTTTAATTTCAATAAATACGGCTTACAGGAATTTTTAAATTAGCATCTTTTTTGACACTTTTAGGTTATACGAAAATATTAGTTTTAACTCAATACTCTTTTTCTCAATATTTTTTTAATTCAACCCATCGATTGTTTTAGATCGATTTAAACAGAAAGCTTCAAGCTTCAATTTAAAATAAGTTTTATTTCTTAATTTCAATAAACACGGTTTCCAGGAATTTTTGAATTAGCATTTTTTTTGACACTTAGGCTATGCGAAAATAGGGGAATTGCATATTTTGCTAAAATTTTATTCCAAAGGCCTTTACTGAGTGTATTTTGATAGCGTTTTAATTCTGTCTGATTCTGTCACAAAGTTTCAAAATGTTTGACTTCTTGGGACACAAAGGGTTAAAAGACACTTATAAATTAACGCGTATAAGCTTTGTCAATTTCAACAGTCTTATAAAGGAGTTATAGATGTCTCCATGAACTTGCGTTTTATTTTTTTTTTGTCCCTGAGATTCATGGTCTTTATTTAACAAAAAAATGTATGTTTTGTTCGTTGTTATCCAATTAAATAATTGTTATATGTTTTCTGTGTGATTTATTTGTATAATTAATTAATTCGAACAAAACAAAATAATACAATACCTACAGTTAGAAAATATCTTAGTGGAAATCTATCTTTAGTGCTTTAATATTCTTCATTCCTTGATTTTTATTAGTTATTGCGTTTCAGATAACCATAATATCTAATAATAACAAAAGTAAATGGCTTACAAATGATAGCACTTAAGATCATTAACAATATAGATGTTGGTTTACATGTCTCGTACACCAATAATAATTGATGTATTATTGACTATTACTAATTGGTTACATATTGGTATAAACCCTTTAGGTATTGGTATTACACATTTAACCTTAGAGTCATTAATTATCTTAATACAGTGCTTAATGTAAGTTAGAATTAATTTTATGTCCATATAATATCCGATAAATTAATATTGATATAGTGTTTAAAGATAGTATTGAAGTAGCGTTATCGTTCTTTTATGGTTTATTATTCCATGAAACACACTTTAGGAAATTTGGGGGTAAAAAGTCGATATCGTCTGTGCTACAAACTGAAAGAAATATAGCCGAGCATGAATAATTCATTCGGAAGGCGTTGTTTTGACTCGTGCAGCGCTACCAAGGTTCGCGATTTAATCCGTAGTAGCTATCATGATATTCAACATCTTCTGACGTAGACTCGGTCGAAACCTATAACTGAACGAATAATTCAACGCATGCAAACTAGAAGAAAAGGCGGCATCAATGTGCATAACACCTACAATCCTTTTGGGTTGAATCCGACCTGATCGCCTTCGTAATCCACTTATAGACCTTATTAGACTTATTAGACCCTTTCTGTCGGTATCGGTTGCGAATATAAATGGGGGAAACAAAGTTCAACATTTAATCTGCTTATCGAAAAGATGCTAGGTAGGTAGGTAAGGTTTATTTTGGTTTTTACTTTCATTCTTCGAAGTTTGCAGACAATATCTATGAAACTCTGATCCTGGGATTTACATCATTAGCAAGAACAATGATGAGATGTAGATACTAGGGAAACTTGGGTCGTGTCACGAGGGCTTTATTGATGATTGACTTTAACGAGATTGTAGGAAATAAATAGGGGGGAGATTAATCAACAATCAATACAAATAGTTCTACAAATTGAACACGTACGAATGTGTCTTCATGAATTGAAGAAGGATATCAGGACGAATGACCCATAATTAGAAAATCCCCAAGATAGAGGACACTTAAGGGTTTTGCACTGACATCATCGGAAATAACGGCCGTCGAGTCGAGTAACGGCAACGATATTTCACCGTTTTAGAACGGACGGCCACTTTTACGACAATTGGGGACATCCAGCTGAGCTCTGCCGTGATTCGCCTCCGAAAATACCGTGTAGAGGTTGTAAACTCAAATCAGAATCGATGAGCTGGGAATTTTAGAATTTCTAAACCTTTTTACGACATCAAGAACAAGATCCCGTAGCAAATCAGTTAACGTGAACTACTTTTATGACGTCGTTACATCTTTTTATTCCTCCTTTTTCCGATATCACCAAAAGAACAAAGACTTTAGGATTTTATCAGTTCTTATCACTAACAAGTGTTCGTCCGTTTTAAATTTACTTTGCGTTCTAGATACAAAACAAATATTTGTTCGTCTTTACTTGTTTAAGACGTATACCAAGTTGTTAGTTAAAGAACGGAGAGCGAAGGCAGCCAAGTGTTGCGGGAACATTTGCAACTTCTCTACACTGTAGAGAGGAACTACACTTTCCAAGAAACGCGCCAAGTCGCAAAGCCTCTGGGACACAAATCTTTCGTTAGACGAGAACCTACCGCCCCAATTAGCATGCTATTTATGTGAAGGAGAGTTGAGATCCTGTACTAAACGTTCCATGCTCCAGTTCCTAACTTTAATTATACTATATTGAATGAAAAGCCTAGTAATAAAAATAAAAAGAAATGTTGAAATTGTATTTTTAAAGAATTTAATGTTTTTCTTTATCTATATTATTGTTTTACTACTCCATAATTTAGTTCTTTTTATGTAACACGATTTTACCACGAATGATTACGTGTGTGAAATTGCTGAAACTGCTGAACTTGGTATTCAGACTGTGCAAAAAACAAACCCATAAACCTCGCGCTGGCGACAACAACAAAACGGCAAAAAAACAGAACGAAGTCCTTCCTGCGAACAATAACCAATTTAGGGCGAGGTAGGAGAGCGCACGATCTCTACTCCCCCGCGTCTATTTTCAGGAATTTACATCAAACTTCGTAGAGAAGCGAAAATTTATATTGTTGTTTACCGGCAAGGCGATAGAAGAACGGGAAGAGAAAGTATCGCTACGTTCCATCTAGACTGCGCCTATGAATAACCTTTTAACTGGTAACTGAAATTTGTAAGCTGAAATCGCATCTAATAAACAGATGAGATCACAAACAAAATTCAAATTGAAAAATTACATTAAGTATCAATCAGCTTCCATTGTTACTTTGTTTTAGTAATAAAGATTTAGATAGTAACTATCCAACTTGCAAATTACAAGATTAGGAATGTTGCAAGTACTTACAATTTTCAAGAGATGAAACACAAGATATCTGGGTAACGTTTAGCCATGCGTCTCTATTAGGCCCACTTTTACCATCCTCCTGATAAACTATCTAGAGGATAGTTGCCATGGTTACGGCGCTTTTAAGGCTCGTTACTACCATCTTCTAGTTAAGCTATCTAAGGGATTATTACCACGGGTACGGCTATTTCACGCGTTCTGATTGGCTAGTAGATGGGTTTATCTTTAAGATAAATTTAACTAAAAGATGGTAGTAATGGAAGCGCTCTCATTGGCTAAGAACTGGATTTATCTATCGGATAAATTTATCAGGAGGTGGTAAAAGTGGGCCTAAGACAGCTAAACTCTAATGTTTTTAATTCTAGGTCTAGTGTTATGGCGATATTACAAGGTTCAAACAAATTGATTCACTTTTGTTGAACTATTATGTTGATCCACCAAAATGAACTATTCAACTCACTTTACGCGGACGAAGTCGAATCAGGTCGTACGGTTGGGAATAACCTTAATTGGTGATCATTTAATTAAGGAGTTAACAAAAAAGAAGCAAAGAAATAGAAGACGTTGGTGGGTACGACCATGGATATTAAGAAGACAGAACTTGGGAGCTTCAAACTGTCTATTGAGAGAATCGGCAGAAGAGGATCCAGATTCATATAATCTTCGAATGAATAAAACAGAATTTGAAGAACTTCTAAAAATGGTTACTCCGTTAATCCAGAAAGAAAGTATTGTGATGAGAAATGCTTTACCAGCACGAATAAAATTGCAAATCGTGCGCAAACATCTTGCTACTGGTGATTGTTTTGGATCACTGGAACAATAAAATTATACAGAGTACTCCGATGTACAAATCTTTTATCCTAGAAGTATGTGAAGGTATCTGGATAGCACTACGAGATTACATCAAGGTAATCAGTAACATAAATAAAACAAACCAATTTATATTTGTTATTTTTTATTTTTATTTTAAATTTAATTGTTATCTTTCTAAGTTTTAGTTCTTATTAATATTGTACATAATCTACAGGATGCATTTTAATATTTCAAATTGTTCTTCAATATTATAGTGTGGTTCACGGACCAAGATGTTTGAGATTATGAATTTGTAGATTGAATATTTGTATCTACAAAATCATATGTAGACTGTGAATTTAATGGGGAACTTGTAGTGGAGGAGCTTGTAATGGACTGCAGTCGTTCCTGGACCATAACATTTTGTAGTTTTTGTTGGCAGATTAAGGCCCGATGTAGAAGCATATTCTTTAACTGCAATGAACATGTACTGAATCATTCAATACATGTGTTTACACGTTCAATTCTCTTTCATTTGCGTTGAATGATGAACCGCAATTCACTTCAAAAGTGAAAATATTAAACCAATCACATTGAACACATAGTGTTAGTTTTAGTTGTAATTGTTGTGCAGCGCTGGACCAAGAACTAGAATCATTAGGATTTAGCCGTCTTAAGAGACGTGTGGCTAAATCCGAATGTTTCTAGTTCTTGGTCTAGTGTTAGTTCTAGCACTACTACTAGAAATAACACAAGACCTAGAACTAGAATCATTCGGGTTTAGCCGTCTTGAGAGACGTGCGGCTAAATCCGAATTTTTCTAGTTCCTGGTTTAGTGTTAGTTCTAGCACTACCACTAGAAATAACACAAGACCTAGAACTAGAATCATACGGGTTGGGTTGGGTTGGGTTGGTAGCTCTACAGTAGCTCTAGAACTAGAAACATTCGGGTTTATCCGTCTTAAGAGACGTGCGGCTAAATCCGAATGTTTCTAGTTCTCGGTCTAGTGTTAGTTCTAGCACTACCACTAGAAATAACACAAGACCTAGAACTAGAATCATCTTGGGTTGGGTTGGGTTGGTAGCTCTACAGTAGCTCTAGAACTAGAAACATTCGGGTTTAGCCGTCTTAAGAGACGTGCGGCTAAGTCCGAATGTTTCTAGTTCTTGGTCTAGTGTTAGTGACAGGGCAAGTGTAAAACTAGAACTAACACTATACCTAGAACTAGAATCATTCGGGTTTAGCTGTCTTTAGAGTCGTGCGACTAAACTGAAATGATTCTAGTTTTAGGTGTAGTGTTAGGTCTACATAGTGTTAGTTCTAATTGTAATTGTTGTGCAGCGGTGGACCAAGAACTAGAATCATTCGGGTTTAGCCGTCTTAAGAGACGTGCGGCTAAATCCGAATGTTTCTAGTTCTTGGTCTAGTGTTAGGTCTAGCACTACTACTAGAAATAACACAAGACCTAGAACTAGAATCATTCGGGTTTAGCCGTTTTGAGAGACGTGCGGCTAAATCCGAATGTTTCTAGTTCCTGGTCTAGTGTTAGTTCTAGCACTACCACTAAAAATAACACAAGACCTAGAACTAGAATCATACGGGTTGGGTTGGGTTGGTAGCTCTACAGTAGCTCTAGAACTAGAAACATTCGGGTTTAGTCGTCTTTAGAGACGTGCGGCTAAACCCAAATGATTCTAATTCTAGGTATATTGTTAGTTCTATATAGTAATACTGCTAGTGTAAAACTAGAACTAATACTAGACCTAGAACCAGAAACATTCGAAACTTTCTAGTTCTAAGTCTAGTGTTAGTTTTAGTTTTAATTGTTGTGCAGCGCTAGACCAACAAGTATCGCGACGTTCCATCTAGACTGTGCCTATGAATAACCTTTTAACTGGTAACTGAAATTTGTAAGCTGAAATCGCATCTAATAAACAGGTGAGATCACAAACAAAATTCAAATTGAAAAATTACATTAAGTATCAATCAGCTTCCATTGTTACTTTGTTTTAGTAATAAAGATTTAGATAGTAACTATCCAACTTGTAAATTGGAAGATTAGGAATGTTACAAGAACTTTGTACGTGATTACATTAAAACTTTACCGATAATACCTGATGAAGGAAAGTTCAAGTTTAGTAAGATAAAATCTTTCATGGCAATGAATTAATGTCTTATTTCAATAAATCTAAAACAAGAAGTCAAGAAGTTTAAACATGCTATTATTCAACGTGTCAATGAAACAGATTAATACATTTGAATTACTCTCAATTAATTCAATCATCATGAATCATTTCATCTAAATGTATAAACAACGACTGTAATAAATAGGCATCGAATTTATATTGACAGGTGCAGACGCTAATTTACATACTAAAATGTTTATTTCTCCGTAATCGGATTATTTCACTGGGATGTGGACACAATTTTCGCATTCATTTGTCCCAAATAAAACATGTATCAACTAAAAAGAGTTACAACAATAGTTTCGAGTTATAATTTCATATATTTGTAAACTAGTGGGTAAAATCGTTAATTGCCGCGTTATCGTGTAACACCCGGTTACAAATCGAACGAAATAACGCTACGAAACGTACTTTTCCCGACGTCAGCGCAAATAGAAACATAATTGAAAGCTGCAGTCGCAGCGCCAGAACGGTGTTACAGGAAACGCGCGCAAATAACTCATCCTGGACCATGAAAAAAAAACCTAACACGGGAAACTGAATTCCACGCCCTCTGTATAGCGTATGCGATATGCCTCAAGCACAGTTTTTTTTATTTACACCCGCACATGTGAATTAACGGACACCTAACAAAAAATAGGTCAACTCTCGTGTACAATACTCAATTGAACTTTTTATTTTCTAATTCTTCATTTACTACAATTTTGTTTACATTCGATTCGTAACAGATATGTAGAATACTGTGTACGATTTGAGTAGATATACTTAAATTTAATAGTTATTTATTAATTTTTTATTTTCTATCTTAATCTAAACAAGTGATGATTAATAACAACATGATTAATGTTGGCCTGCTCAATTTGTGGATGGAGAAAAATTTGAAGTAAAATTGATAGACTCATTCGACATTTTCCTACAGACTGCGTTATTATAAAGGTCAAAATAAATTTGATGGGTATATGATGTAACAATAAAAGATGTGCCTCCTTATAGATGACTGTATACTGCTGGCAGAAAACTAGATACTGCCAACAGAAGACGAGATACTAACTAATCCCAATGGTGGACAGGATCAAGACTAACAAGAGCGGAAGAAATGACTCTCCCAAATGGGGTGCAGCGATCCATTCTGTTAAAAAAAGTGTGGGGCATTATGAAAAATTTTAATGATCTAAAACACATTGTGAAGTAAATCAAGAAAGATATCAACTTCGTTCAAACTTTCACAGTAACTTTGTCATTTTTTTTAACTTTCCAAACTAAATACGGTCGATGTAAAACTTTAAAGCGAGAAGTTTAAATCTTACCGAAGGCAATCGTTTATTTAGAGTTAAGTGTTACTATAAATTTTGGACCTCTTAAACGAACCTTAAAGTGATTTCTCGAGTTAATATTACCTCGTTAAATATCCCCTCGTGCTTTTCGCTAAGTGAACGCCGCGATTATAGTACCAAAGGGGATGGTGTCACATTTAAAGTACGAATGTATTGCTAATGTGAAAGCCATTTAAAATGTATTTTATTCCTCATAAAAATATCGTTACGAAACTAATTAATTCATTAAAACGTGCTAAGTTAATTATTTTTTAACCGCAGTTGTGTTGAGTAATATAAAAGAAATAATAAAGATATTATGTGGAAATGTTACAACAGTAAAGTAAAGTAAAGATGTTTAGACTCCAGGGTCACAGAGTTGAGCTCTCAGGGAATGTCTCTTTAAATTCATACGTGTTTCAAGCAAGTTCGTAGGCCCCTGAGAGATGAGAAAGTTTAGAGTCCCATTTTAAAGTTGCACGCGAAGCTTTGAGGGCTCTTATTGAGCCGCCAGTTCCAATCAGGGCAAGATGGCACATTCGAAGTACTTCTCGACTCGAATTACAAGATAACTCATTAACCCTTTTCTTCCCCTCTTGACTTACGTAACTCCTTAAAACATTTTTTGACACTCAAGATATTTTTGTAATAAAACGTCTCTTAGTATCTACTTTTCGATTGCGTCTTCGCCGAAAGGGGCTACGTGAGATCAAAGCTAAAGTGTAATTATAAATAATTCCATCGAAGAGGAATTCGATAAGACGGAGGAGACGAACGGAGCTGTAAGTGGCGGGGAAATTGATTTCCGACTCCTGTACTCTCTTGATGTTAGGCGTATGTGGCCCGGCATCTATTCGTATCCCATTACGACCTCGAGTGGATGCCATGGGATCCGGGAGACGAAACAACGGGATGAGTGGCGATATCAAGACGTCAACGACAAAGAACCCTTACGTCCAATTTAATGTTTTAGGTAGAATGACAAAGAGACAAAATGAAATATTTTATTTTGAAATAAAACATTAACAATGTCGTTTCATCGTAATCAAACATAATATAACTGCGAGTTCGCTCGCAATATGCAATATTGCAACGACAAATATATTATATAATGAGACATTACTAAGAATGAATGAATGTATATAGAGAAATTCTTATAATTTTCAAGAGATGAAAGACAAGCTATCTGGGTAACGTTTAACCATGCGTCTCTTAAGACGGCTAAACGCTAAACCTGAACGTTTCTAGTTCTAGCTCTAGTGTTAGTTCAATGAAAAATATACAACAACCTACCGCTTAATAAGAGCTAAAACAAGAACTAATACTAGATCTAGAACTGGAAACATTCGGATTTAACCGTGCATCTCTCAAGACGACTAACATTAGACTAACACTATACCTACCTATAACTAGAATCATTCGGGTTTAGCCGTACGTCTCTTAAGACGGCTAATCCCGAATGATTCTAGTTCTAGGTAGGTATAGTGTTAGTTATAGTAACAGTGCTAGTGTAAAACTAGAACTAACACTAGGCCAAGAACTGGAATCATTTGGATTTAGCCGTCTTAAGAGACATTTGGCTAAACCCCAATGATTCGAATTCTAGGTATAGTGTTAGTTCTGGTAACAGTGCTAGTGTAAAACTAGAACTAACACTATACCTAGAACTAGAATCATTTGGGTTTAGCCGTCTTAAGAGCCATTCGGCTAAACCCGAATGATTCTAGTTCTAGATATAGTGTTAGTTCTGGTAACAGTGTTAGTGTAAAATCAGAACTATACCTTTAACTAGAATCATTTGGGTTTAGCCGTCTTAAGAGACATTCGGCTAAACCCAAATGATTCGAGTTCTAGGTATAGTGTTAGTTCTGGTAATAGTGCTAGTGTAAAACTAGAACTAACACTATACCACGAACTAGAATCGTTCGGGTTTAGCCGTCTTAAGAGACGTTCGGCTAAACCCGAATGATTCTAGTTCTAGGTATAGTGTTAGTTCTGGTAACAATGCTAGTGTAAAACCA